TATTGTTTGGCCCATGAGCAAGCCATTTGATTTGGTTTGTGATTTCAACACTTCCTTTCTTTAACAAGTCATTAACCTAGTCATTACATAGTAAAGTTGAGAAAAAATGGTAATAACATGAATTGATTTATTATAAATTATATACTACATACCTTTTCTTCAAACCAAAAATTAAAGGTTTAACTATAAATTTGTTGATCTCATGATCTTTCAATCTACGAAAGTGCCTCTGTTTCATAATCACCTCCTTATGATGCCTATATGCAGATTTCAATAAGGATTAGTATGGTATATACTAATTAATTATACATTTAAGAAAGAACAAAGACTAACTTTAGAAATGGAGCAACTTCTTCACTATTGAATAGCACATATCTATGTGCTTGTATACGTGTTTGGTCATCTAACTCAATTCGAGCAACCCTTTTTCGCTTCTTCACCTGGAAGCCTTGTTTACCCTTCCTCCCTAGTGGTCTCCCATATTCATGATCATCATCATTGTGCATTAGTTGATTAAATTTAGTCTCAACCCCCGAGAGATACCTTGAACAAAATGTCAAACACTCTTGAGCTAAATAACCTTCCGCAATGGAGCCTTCTGGGTACCTTGGATTACGTACATACGACTTTAATGTGAAAAGTTCCTTACTCAAATATGAATCATTATAAACATATTTAAAAATAAAATATTAACTTTATTTAAAAGAACCTGAAAATGGATCTATTGCTAATGCCAATTAGAATATCAATTTTTTTGTTTACTAATGTGCAGCAATCATTGAATAATGAAACGCAATGTCAGTAATCCTAAATTAGGAACTCTAGGAGCCGTTAGACAAGTTTAATGAATACATATATAGAGAATATTGCCAACCCCACAATTATTTCCAATATTCTAGCCATATAGAAGATCGTCCCAGGCTTTGTCTTTTAGGGGGAACCATTTCCTAAGCTTTGTCAAGGGTCCCTTTTGGATGTAAATTTTATGAAAGTCACAATGATATCTATTGATGTGCTTGATCTAGAACAGAACAGAGTACCACTATTACGGCTTCTCCCACTAGAAAAGATTTGGTTGGTCATTACAAAATATTCCAGAATAACTCTAACTCATAGACCATGTAAAGCCACCCACAATTCCACTAACAGCACTAAACTAACCACTCAACTCCTACACCCACCCCCAACAAAACACACAAGCTCATGGCATAAAAACTAGTATTACAGACGATACTTCAACAATAGAAAGTTGAAAATAATATAAAGTAGCAAAAAAGATGTCAACACCAAAGCATATCACAATTCATCAAGAAACTTAACAAAAATAACCATGTAAAACTATAAGAGCCCCTTTATACATCTAAAATACACATAACTAGCAACTACTCCTTCATTGCCCAATACTCCCATAAAAATCTAATTTTTCTTTCAAGAATAAACTCACTTTCAACCTCATAAAAAAGGAAAAAAAAAAGAAAGAAGAAAAACTCAATCCAACAAAATCAATGACCACGGGAAGGGAGAAATTGGGTTCAAATGAATGAACAACATTGCATATGTACAGCGAGTGAAGGAAAAAAATTAAAATCAAGGTTAAAGAAACTAAAAAAATTATTCTAAAAGATATTCAAATTATTGATTATGAATACCAACCAAGCATAAAATTGACCAAAATAATAACATATTAATCTAGATTAACATCTAATAGTCCTTGAAGTTAGATATAGATATATTAAAACTAAAACCACATGAAAAAGGTTGAAGTTATACCTCTCAATAGGATACATCCACCTAAAATTAACTGGCCCACCAAGTTTCGCCTCATTTGCTAAGTGAATAGCCAAATGAACCATAATGGTGAAAAATGAAGAAGGGAATATCTTTTCCATCTCACAGAGAGTAATTGCAATTCTATGCTCAAGCAAGTCAAGATCCTTCTCACATAGTACCTTAGAGCAAATGTTCTTGAACTAGTTACAAAAATCAATGATAGTTGAGCATACCTCGTATGGCAAAGACTTACGTAATGCAATAGGGAGAAGTTCAAGCATCAATACATGGCAACCATGACTTTTGAGTTCAATTAATTTGTGTGCTTTAAGTTGGACACAATGTGATACATTTGATGACAGTTCATCTGGGGCTCAAAGATCCTTGAGAACTTTAAAGAAGGCATCTTTTTCCTTAGAGGTCATTTGATAGCAAGCTTTTGGAAAATATTTAGTATTAGTATGTAAGTGCACCTTGGGATGGAGATCATTCCGTCTACCCATGTCTTCTAAATCACATCGTGCTTTGTAATTATCTTTAGACTTCCCATGTTGGCTTGTGATGGTGCCACACGTGTTATCAAATATGTTTTTCACTGTATGCATCACATCAATATTATGACGCAATAAAAGATGTTCCCAATAAGGCAGTTGAAAGAAGATGCTCTTTCTTTTCCAAGGTTGCATGCTGCCATTGTTGTATTCATCTTCTATGCATTCTAATTGCCTTCACACTTCAGACCCCGTTAGCCTCATAGGTGCTGGACGAGTTTCGCAAGTTCCATCAAATGATTGCGCGTCTTGACGATAAATGTGATCAGCTTCTAACCATTGTCCATGACCCATATAACAATACTTTCTACTGTGTACCAACCATAAAGATTCTGTATCAAAACCACAATAGGGGCAAGCATACATCCCTCTAGCACTATACCCAAAGAAACTAGAGAGCCCAGGAAGGTCACTAATAGTCCACAATACCACTGCTCGCATTAGGAAACTTTGATTAACAGAGACATCATAAGTTTTCAATCCTTCGTCCCACAATTCTTTTAATTCTTCCCTTAAAGGCTGCAAGTATACATCAATCTTATTACTTGGGCTTTTAGGACCAGAAATCAACAATGTGAGGATGAAATTGGGTTGCTTCATGCTCAACCATGGGGGCAAATTGTATGGTATCAACATAACAGGCCATGTGCTGTGAGATACTATCATCATCCCAAATGGATTAAAACCATCTGAAGCTAACCCGAAGCGAACATTACGTGGATTAGCAGAAATTTCTGGATGTCAAGAATCTAGATCTTTCCATGTTGGAGAATCTACAAGATGCCTCATCAATCCATCTTTGGTGCGCCCTTCTTCATGCCATTTCATCAAAGAAGCCGTTTTTGAATACATGAATAATCTTTGCAACCTTAGTTTTAAAAGAAACCAATGTAATACCTTTGCAGAAATATTTTTTTTCTTAGTACTACTAAAATTCTCTCCCTTATCTTCCACAACAACACTACTTTCCTTCCATCTAGAGGCACCACACACATCGCAATCTTGTTGATTTTCACGATCTTTCCAGAATAACACAACCATTTGGACAAGCATGTATTTTCTCATACCCTAAACCGAGACTTGAAAATATTTTCTTCATTTCATTATGTAGTAGGTAGTGTGTTTCCATGGAGTAACGCCTCTTTTAACAACTCCAATAGCATGGATAATGATTTATTACTCCACCCATTAAGACATTTTATGTGGTACAAGTGTACTAAGAATGGCAGCTTTGACATCTTACAATTAGGATACAATTCTTGCTCATCTTCCTTAAGCAATTTAAAAAACATATCTGAATCACTGCTTTCAAATTGACTATATTGTCCATGGTCATCTCTTGTTTCAGTGCATGTTCCATCCAGATCAACATTCATGCCACCATTAATATTAGTGTTTGTAGCATGCATACCAAATGCATCACTCAACAAACCATGTATGTCATGAAGAAAGCCCTCATCTTGTATGTTAATTTCAATCTCAAGTGTTGATGATCCAACACCCTCACCATGCAATCCCCAGTTGACATAGCCCCTAAGAAATCCATTGCATATGATATAATCAAAGACATCCTGTGGGTACATAGACTACCCGTTAACACATATCCTACAAGGACATATGATTTTTCCATCTTCATCTAGGTGATTTGAGGCAAACAAAATGCATCTCATAGCCCCTCGCACATATGTCAAGGAGGCCCTTTGTTCGATATTTATCCACACTTATCACCTGATGTAATATTACCAACTGTAATGAGAACAATAAAGAATGCAATCAATTAAAATTGTAGA